ACCGGGTATCCCAGAAAAATGTCCCTAAAATAGTTTGGCTCAGATAAATACACTGCACAAAACTAATTCATTTCTGTTTGCTTTATTTTAATGCCAAAGCCTATAAGTTTATTTTCACACCACATGTTCAATGTAAGCCCCTTTCCCACCAATCACAGCTCGTATTCTAACAGCTAGATTGTTCATCACTCTTGGGAAAGTTTCAAGTGGATTATTCCGAATTTCACGTCTGATGTTGTCCTCGAGTTGTTCGAGGTTCCTTGGTTTCGGGTTGGCGTAAATCCTATCCTTCATATACCCCCAGAGAAAGAAATCTGGGGGTATCAGGTCAGAGGAATAGGGAGGCCACTCAACATCTTCATACAAGGAAATCAAACGGCTTGGGAAGTGCTGCAGTAGAAATTTTCTAGTTTCCCTTGTGGTATGCGGAGGAGCTCCATCTTGCTGGAACCACTGAGTTCTCATACTTATTTGTACATTCCTACAATGAGCTTGTCTGCACAGTTCCAGAATGTAAAAGTCCTCTATCATGTGACGATAGTTCACCTGATTGACTGTCGCTGTTCTTCCAGCACCATCCTTGAAAGAGTATGGTCCATTGATACCATACCAGCCTATGGCCACCCACTTTGTATCTTTAAGTACAGACCGAGGAGTTTTTTCAACATGAATCCAAGAAACCTTGAACAACTCGAGGACAACATCAGACGTGAAATTCGGAATATTCCACTTGAAACTTTCCCAAGAGTGAGGAACAATCTAGCTGTTAGAATACGAGCTGTGATTGGTGGGAAAGGGGGCTTACATTGAACATGTGGTGTGAAAATAAACTTATAGGCTTTGGAATTAAAATAGAGCACACAAATGAAAAAGTTTTGTGTAGTGTACTTCTCCAAGCCAAATTATTTTAGGGACATTTTTCTAAGATGCCCTATATATTACAGTGTGGGTTTGGTTAACCATAAACTTCCCATTTCTTTGTCCAGATATTTTGAAGAAAACACATAAGTATAACCCACTGCTAGACAAACTACTAAACACCAGGGTTGAGTGTCGGGCATACCTGAAAGCTAAATTTACCAGGGGATTTAATATACTGTACTGTATACGGAGGTACGTCTGTTCATTATTATAGGGGAAACAGACAAAAAAAAATGCTTGGTGGGAATTCTTCAGGATGGAATTCATTAGTGCCCATAGCATGCCCAGTATACAGTATAAAGAAAATATTGGTACCAATCTTCTTTTTTTGTTTGTAGTATTTTGATTTTTCATTAATTATTCCAATTGTATATTTCTGGATGTGTTCTACAAGCTAATCTGCATCAACACTATCACATTTGCATATCAGACTCCTTTTCCAGTGATATCTATATGCAGTGTGACTGTTATAGTGCATTACATTATTTACATGACAAAAGTTACTTTTAATTTTTCCCTTAAAGCCTGGTACATATATAGACTTTGGGTCCTGACACAGAATACTGGAGATTCTATCTTCAGTTTCCATATTGTCACTATTTTGTGGATGAATAATGGTGTAGTTTGTATATCTAGTTCATTACCTCTGAATTGAAGGTCACTATCTGATCTCAACCCATCCCATGTTTCTGTGGTCCTCGCTTTCGGTTTGACTGTGTCTGTATTTTTGTGCTTCAGTTTTATTTGTAGCCTCCGTCTGTACTCGGCTAAATAGCACGGCAGTGGGTATTGGAAGTGTGTTGATGATTTAACTGTATTGGGGCTTTTGATTTACATACTTCATATTCACACAACTGTAAACCCTTCCAAGCTGTTGTTATTATAGTCGACCCTCGTTAATTCGGACCCCTTTAATCCGGATTTCGGATAATTCGGACAAAATCTGAATGAACTTTTTTTTTTTTTTTCTTTAAGATTTGTAGGAATATTACCTACGCGGGCCTTAAGCTAAAATGCTGGTCCACCCACTGCTGGGATAAAACACCAGCGTCTTTTTGGTCAAATGTAACATCTCCACCACTACTGTGGGGGGGGATGCAACTTTTAGCTTCAGACATGAAAAATATTTACCATTTACTGCCAGTAAACAATGGAAACGTAAAATTTGTACCAATTAGTAATGAAAAGTTGTGCAGTTCCTTCAGCAAATGAAGCTCGCCAACTTACAATAGGCTAAATTACCTTACAACGTGTTTTCAGTAGCCTATGTGAAGTTCTTAGCACAGGCTAACTTATCATATCATATACGGTATCACAGTTCTCATTGATCTACAAAAAATACCGGTAATAAAAACCTTTTTGATATTTCACACTTAATATAATACCCGGTAATCTACTTCAACCTCCTATTGTTTACAACGACACATGACGCACCACCAGCTGTTGAGTATCAGCTACACGGTACACGTGTTTTTCGAATCGTTTTCAGTTAAAAAACTGTTACATCACATGTATATTTTACCTTAACTGTGCCTGAATGAATATATTCTCGGAAATAAATAGTAGTTTTGCTGAAACGTGATGTATTTTAATGTAAAATAGGATAAAATACATGACGAAAACAAAAGATTTTACCTAAGCTTCCGATGTTCTTGAGATGTTATTCGTTTTTTTAATAGTTTTCGGTTAAAATACTGTTATATTACAATGGTATTCTATTCATACTGTGCTTGATATAATACATTCACGGAAATGTAATATTTTTGCTGAAATTACGTACGTATTACAGTGGAAAGTGGGATAAAATCGTGACGAAAACAATGACTTTGAAATATAATGCAATATTAACCCCTAAATCGGTTAATTCGGACAATCGGCTAAAACGGACACCCTTCCCCCCCTATTAGTCCGAATTAACGAGGGTCGACTGCACAGTATTTGTCAACTAAATAGATCTATTCATTTTTTCTCTGGTTCCTTGGCTTTAGATCCTTTATATATGACTTAGAAGATAGATATTAAGTTTACTACTGTAATTTTAATACATAATATGAAAATTATTGTATTTTGCCCTTGCACCAAGATGATAGCTCTCTTAATTGTCGCATCATTTTAAGAGTTGTTAATCTAACGGATATGACCCATTAGTTAGTAATTCAAAGCACCAGTGCCAGTGAAGTGATTTGCTTGATAATGGACTCGGGCCTCTTTCTTTTTTCTTTTTTTACTGGGTTTAGCATTTGGTGTTGCTAATGGTTGGGCTGTCTGTATGCCTGATACTCTAACACTGCATACTGATAAATTGTGATTCTTAGATGATGATGTATTTACGTTAAAGAATTTGGTGAGCTACAATGATTATTACATGTCGTTAAAATGTTTGAATTGTGTGAGCTTACTTTTCCCCTCTCTCTCTCCCTTTGTACTGCCCTCTGCTGCCCCTCCACCAGTGTTCACAATATTCAGAAGGAGTGGTTCGTGTAAGTTTGGCGCATATTAATTTGCGTCAGGGTGTAGCAAGACTTGTGTGATGCTCCGTTCCTGTTAGAGGGTAATTCTTTCTCGTCCATACAGTATATCAGTGTTTGTGTTGGCTTAGAGTGTTTCCTTGGAGTTGTGTAAATGTGCTTTAGAGTAACTAAAAAAATTTTATACTGTGTATTTATAAATTCATATATAATTTAGTATGTTTTCTCCCATTCAAGCATGTATGGGCTAGCTTTAGTAGAAAATCTTTACCTAATCAAGAAACTGGCAAACCAAATCAGCTCTTTCAAATTTCCTATTATATGCGATGTTCCTAAAACCTGTTACCATGGTTAAGAGTTGTCCAGAGTTGTTTGTGCTTATTTCCCTGAAATGCCAGAATCAATATTACACTTTACTAATGTCAGTATGGCTAATATTGAAGTACTTGTATATTGCAGCTTTTCCGTTATATATATTCAATGTACTTGATTTTTATTCCTCCCTCTTCTCTTAAACCATTATTAGGATGTTTTTTATTACTTTTATCAAATTTTCAGCATGGTTTACATTTTAATATTCATATTGTTTGTTTTTCACATCACTGTGAATAAACTACTTATGCTGTATGTATAGTACAGTGCTGTATATACAGACACCCACATCACCCTTTAAGATAACTTATTATCTGGTAGATGTAAGTGCAGTATTTCAAAGTGCTTAACAGTACAGTCTATACCAAAAAACACTGCAGAGTTTTCATTTTGAACTAACCACAGCCAAATTCCCCATCAAACAATTTCTGGGCCAGTTCATGTTGTTCCAGGAATAAAAAAAAAGTTATATGATAAAAGGAAGTACAGTACCTATATGTACAAATTTGGCCTTGGTCAGTATCTAAACATAGTGTTAATTGCATCACCGAGAAACCGTGTAGTTTTTCACATTTGCTAAATGATCTATATACAGTACATAAGCCATAACCTCTGCATCTTGAATCCTCTTTTGAACCTGCAGTACTGCCTTAATATTTAGTGGTAATTTTATTACTGATCAAGTTTTCTTTATTATTATTTTACAATATTCATCAGTTTCTCATCTTATTTTATTTCCACTCTGGATTGTTTGAGATCAAGATTTCTCTCTCTCTCTCTCTCTCTCTCAGTATGTAACTACAGGAGCATCTTTGCTGGATTTGCAAATCATTTTATGTTTGTACTATAAGTGGGGCTCCAGTGCAATGCCTGAATTAAATATATAATTTTAAGCATTGTACTGAAAAAACTTTTAGGATTAAATCTTTCAAGATTTATAAAATGGCAAGTAGTCATTGAAGTATATACAGTATCATTTTATTCAGTGCATTGTACGAAATACCTTCAGTTTGCATGGTTATATTTCAATTTTTTTATGAAGGACACTATATGCCAACAAAGAGATGATCTTCCATTCTATTAACCATGTTTTCCTAATGCTGGGTTTTTAAAGCACTTTTCTTGTGACAAGTTTTGTCAAAATAGTAATGTGAATTATTTTTTGTCAAGTGAGGTTTGTTCATAAGATACTTTTTATATTATAAATAAGGAATAATTGACAGAGCTAACTTTTGGCAGATGGTGAGTACGACCACCTGACTTATTCACGTCCAGTGGGCGAAGTGAAGCCGCACTACTACACTATGGCATCTCAGCTACGCCGTTCGGCTGATCAGTTGTCTAAGGAGGCACCCACCACCAGCAGACCTTCAACTGGAACAACCAAGAAGCAACGTTCTACACATTCTTCGTCATCATCATCATCTAATGAGTTGAATATTTCCCGGCCTGAAGCCAATTTAGATGATAACGATGATTACCCTTGTCTAGCTCAAAGTACTAGTGAAGATGGAGTGCCAAAAGTGAGTAATCTCAATCCTGCTGCCAGTGATGATGAATATGCAAGGCTTAAGGTCAACAACTTCGATGTTTCAGTGGATTCTGGAAAGCGAGGTGCTTATGCAAAATTTGAAGATGAATTTAATGTTACTGCCTCCACAGCTCTTGAGGATTCAGACACTAGTCACAACAATACAGCTGAAACAGAGGTCCTAAGTTCACAGATAAACTTTTAAAGTGAATTGATTCTGGGAGGATTTCCAGACAGTGTGTGTAAACTGGACAGTGCAAAATCAAACTTCTTGAAACCTGCATCATTGAATAAAAAGGAGTGGCAAACAATGCTGATTAATAATCCAGGCCTGAAGTAAATGGGGTTTGATGTAAATGAAGATTTTTATACTTGATTGAAGAAAATGGTTTGAAACTGCAATTTGGTCCATAGTGTAGTGTTGCTTATATTGACTGAGCTTCTCAAGTATTGCCCCTGGTCATTAATCTGTTATCATATAACAAGTTAAGACACTGTTGTGCAATTCTCTATGTACAGATTCATATGTAATTTTTATTAGTACATGTTTGCAATTGATAATTTAACTACAATAAGAAACAAAGTAGTGTCCATCCATAGTGATAATTGGTTGTGTATAGATAATTGTGGCAAAAAAATCATCACCTCTTCACCTCTTCATGGCCTTCATAAGTGTAAAAGATATTTTGTGGATAAATATCCAGTGACAAGTTATAAACAAGTTGAATGGATGAATATAAAGGGATTATTATTATTAGTTTGGATAATGAATGTATATTCTGTAGCAGTGTCTTGGATTTGTTAATGTGGGAGAGTGTTTCAAGGTAATGCCATCTATCATGAACATTTGTTAATTTTCACTGCTTTTATATATTTTTTGTAAACTATTATTTTGTGAATTTGAACTGTTTACTACAGTATTTCAGCTGGACTTGAAGGTGATAGTAACAGAGGCTTTTCATAGTATTTATGAATGTTAATATCAAATTTAGTTTTTACAGAATGGACAAAGCTGCTTAATGAAATTCTTAGTGATTCCACATCTTACTATTTTCAGTTTAGTATTGTATTCTTTCTTGTTTTGAGTTGTTTGTTTAATTGGTCTTGGAAATTGGCAAGTTTTAGTAATTTTTAACTTTCTTAAGATTTTAAAGTGTATCAAGTGAAATGAAATAAGGATTTTTTTTGTCTTGTTGATTTAAAGGTTTTATTGAGCAAATATTTTTTTTATATAATTAACTCCATATGCCTGCATTTATGTTTTTGCATGATCTGTGCAAAAATAACTGGCAAGGTTGAACAAGAATTTGCCAAATGTTGTGTCGGGGAGAAAGTTTTCTTAGTGAGTTAAAAAGTTTTCTTTTGGAATTTACTACTTGGCTAATTTTGTCATTGAACTGATGTCTTGGCAGGTTAGAATTGTTCCTGATTATATTTATTTTTTTATCAGACTATATACTATAAAAATGAACTTGATCCTAGTTAAGCTTTAAATATATATACGGTATGCCCATTATCATATCATAGTCATATAGTTTGTTCTGTTTAATGATTTATAGTATAAAAAAAACACACAAGTCTCTTTAGATCCTCTTTGAGTCTCCTATCTAAGCATTCAGCCAATACCTTGGAGTTGAGAAAAGCTTTTGTCTTCAAAAGATTTGACTGATAAAGCTAAACCCTTTGATACCTGTACAATATTACCAAACTGGGCTGTGTAGTTAGTGAATTCTTTCTTGTTTTCCTTCTGTATAACTCATTTAAAATTTCAAAGCCTTTAATATTTCTTTAAAAAAAAACTTGTCTTTGCATTTAACTTTCTTAAAAAGTACATGTTCAGCTTACTTGATCCCCAGAAGAATTGGTGACATGTGTTGCCACTCTCATCATCAGTTCAGCAGTCTTAACACTAGGAATTCATTATGCAGGAAAGGTATTGGTGTTAGTTTTCAGTTTGTCAGCTCTAATTTACATTACTAAGGCCCCTTAAGATTTGACCAAGAAGAATCCTTGTGCTCGTTTAAGATTTTTCACCTAGTCAACTGCTCTTAACATTAATATAAAGGAATATGGATTATGTATCTAGTATACCATTTTTGTATTGTCATCAAAGGCAAAAAAAAAAAATTACCAGAATATACTTAGTGACAATTTGTCTGGCTTTGTACATTTTCTTTTCAGCAGAAATGTTCAAGAAAATTTGTCACACTGAAGATTGATTGTAATGACATGGCAAAATAAGTATAGTTTGGTAGTAAGTTATATCTTCTTTATGAAAAATAGAGAAGCAATTTTTCAGAGTTATTAATAACCAAGACTAACTTGACTTCTCAGGATATACCAGTATGAATATATATACAGTGGTCCCTCGGTTAACGAGCACAATCCGTTCTGGAAGGTTGCTCGTTAACCGAAAAACTCATTAACCGAAACCATTGTTTCAATGGGTTATTGGGTAATTGGTTCCAGCTCACCGAAAATTGCCTAAATTCAACAAAAAAAGGTAGAAAAGTACACTTACTTTGAGGTGTGTATGTAGAAGGCTCCTGGATGATGATGATGGGAATTAGAATGGGGGTGGAGGAGAAGGGAGAAGAGAAGGCATTGGGGTGGAAGAGAAGTCACCCCATGGCACCATTTCACCCATAAAATTTTAGTTCTCTTGGTGTAATTCAAGATAATTTTCTTTAAATCAACACTGCACTGCATTATATATTGTCAATATGTAAAATAAATTTCAAAATGACCAATAATTTGCTTGCAAACACAGAAAAAAGCATTTAGTTGAAGAGAGTCTCAAGCAAGATGTTACCTCCACTGAAAAGACACAAAGACTGACGCCTGTATGGTGTGTTGAGAGGCTGGATGGCACGCATAAAACTAGTTTCATTACCTTCAATTATGTTCAATAATTGTTAAAATGACTAAAAAATTTAATATTAAACTTTTAAAATTATTGAATAGTATAAACTTTTTGATATTTACTAAAATGGTAAGGAATTTAGCCCTAGAACCAATTACTGTATTGGTGGACTAATACTACAGCTGGTGGACCGCCAAATGCAAGCGAAAACATGTTGAGGTCGGCTCGTAAGAAACTCTTAATCGAGGGATTGCTCGTTAACCGAAGTTAAGAATCTTATGGAAGGTAACTCTTAACCGAAATCTTGTTAACCGAGGACCACTGTGTGTATATATATATCTATCTTGATAAACTCACATGGTTTCATTGTGGATCTACATGAAATATATATATATATATATATATATATATATATATATATATATATATATATATATATATATATATATATATATATATATATATATATATATATATATATATATATATATTATATATATATATATATATATATATATATATATATATATATATATATATATATATAGTTATATATATATATATATATATATCTATCTTGATAAACTCACATGTATAATTTTTTCTTTCTAAATCTAATGCCTAAATCTATTACTCACTATGCTATGTGGTAGCTGAAGTTAAGAACAACATAACCTGCCTCAGCATGCATTCTTTCACTACAAGTATATGTGTTATGCTATGGTGTGCCCAAAGCTCTCCATCAAGGTTACCCCAGGTGCTTGAGTGCTACTACAGTATACTGGTTAAGGCCCAAAAAATGTTCATCATTGCACCTTACTTTCAATGATAAATGTGTTTGTTCTTAATTATTATCCCCACTCATAAAGTTGGGGGGCAGGATATAGAAACGGGTTCAGTTAGTCCACATATCCGTCCAAATTTCATATCCAGATCATGTCTCTTCTGGAATATTTCAAGTCTTATAATAGTTTGGATAAATATTAAACTTTGTGGCAAAGGGATGACTTTTTTATTAGAAAACATATGTTTAGTTTTGATATTTTTATTGGTCAGTTTGCTAAGGAAATATTGGACAGTGAGAAGTGAACATAGTAAAGAGTACTGTAGATAATTCTTGGTTATTTGCAATTTAAGGCTTTGCATTTTGATTATTTGTGGTACTCCAATTTTATCTCTTATTTTAAATTTGCCATTGTTAAAATCTCTTGAAGACACTGGCAGTATACTGTATCGGTAAACTTCCAAACAATGAAGAAAAATCATCAGACCTGATGACAAGGGTTAAAATGAACCCATTCACTAAAATTCATTGAGGTGGTAATCCTAATTGTTAGCTGTACCAGCAGTTTGTGTGGCATTCACACATGTCTTCTGGTCCCCATGTGTTACTACAGTTAGATTTTGTGTCGTTTGAATGAAGAGGTGCTGAAGGAGTCGTATTTTGTATATCGCCTAAATCATTAGGGGCTTTGATGACTCCAAACTTTTGCATGACCTTGACTCACTCTTAAAACAAAATTCACTAATTTGTCTTTAATTGTGGAGATAAAGTTAAATCGGATTTTTTTCTTGGTTTTTGGCTAAAAACAATAATGCAATTTGTTTTCCAAGGTCATGATCACTGAGCCTGACTTATCTTCTCTCTCTCCATCATCACTTCACCCACACTAACGATTTGATATCATTACTTATCCAGTGTTAAAACACATTGTTACAGGCAGGAAGATGAATGAATGAAAGACAGCATGTGAAGAGAGAGTCAGTGTGAATGTTCTTGAATTTCAATACCCTGCATTATAGTGGACAGAGGCTTTAAAGGATGAAAACAATTACCATAATTGACTGCCTTGTTAAATAGTGTTTAATCATTGGTGCCTTTATGAGTACAGTACTGTTCCTTTGATATGTTGCTTTCTCATAATTTGGCATATTGTGGCAGTACAGTCGCGGTTCTCATCGCCTCTTGGCATTAGATAGCTACAGTGAGTTCTGCTATAACGCGTGTTTTGATAACGCGAATTTGCTCTAACGCGATTTATGAATTCGGAACAATATTTGTATAACGCGAACGCTTGTTTGCTATAACGCGATTTTTGCTTACTATTTCTCCAATTTTGTGGTATTAACTGTGATTATGGTAAAGAAGAATATCTCCAAAAAGCGTTCTGATGATAGAATTCCCGGTGATTATCGTAAAAGAAAGGATATAACACTTGAAGAGAAGCTCGATGTTATCAACCTCAAAATCACCCTTCTCCCCCATCAAGTTACATTCATATTTTTTCAAGGTAAAGTGTTACATTTACTGTATGATTTCATTATTAGATATGAATGTAACATTTATTTAGACTGTGCTATCCTTTGTGTTAGGCTAACTACTAAATTTTTTCGATTTCGAGTAATCTGCACCTAACCCTATTTTCTCCATAAGCCCTGTTATTTCTATTACGCGATTTCTATAACACGATGTTTTTCAAGAACACAATTATGGCGTTATAGCAGAACTACCTGTACCTAAAACCTTTTCTATATATTTCTGGTTCATTGAAGTATGGGGATATAGGAATGGGTATCTTCCATCCGTACTTCTTCATCGTTTTCCTTTTTTTGAAGATTACTAGAGAAATTTCATATACATTACTGTACTGTACCTCGAAAGTTTATATGCTATGCAAATTAACCTGGCAGTGAAGAGCTGCCCTTCCCTAGCTCCGATACTTTGATTTCAGTATTGTTCCCGACTTAGAGTTTCTCCTTTTAGATCTCCTTTTTCCCCTTTTC